TCGGGGACCTGCCATATGACACTGTCACAGCTGTGTCTTCGCTTCCGAATCCCTCAACATTTGGTGAGGTTGCATATACTGACGTCTGCTTTCCCTTAGCTTGGGAAAACTCCCCAGAATCATGTTTGAGTTAGAGCACTTTCTATATGAATTTCGGACTTTTTTTTGAACTTACTAGAGGAGGATACGCTTTAGTCTTCCTAAATGTAGGACGGAGTTGTGTTTGGCTCCGGGAGAGCTCCTGGAGGCGCTTTTCCCCGGAATAGTTATGGCTCTGCAGAGGTCACCAGGAGGGCTGCCATGCTCGACTGGAGCACTCACTGGAACTGTTTATTCTGCCCACGCAAACTTTAAAAAAATATACTGGCAGCTTATGCTCTAGGAGACTTAAACAGAAGACGCTCTCTTAGTGAGTCATCTACAGTGCTCTTCATTGCAGGCACCTTACTATGTTAATGGTGCTTTATCTGGTTTGTTTTTATTGTTTTCCACTTTTATTCAATGCCGAGGGATGATTGCATTAAAATTGCTGTTGTGCAGTCCTATAGAAATAATAGGTCATGCGATAATTGTTGTTTCACTATATTTAAGGATGTGAATTTTCTTTTTAAGGTCCCTACTGGTCAAAAGTCAAAAGGTCATACTTGGCAATGCATCTTCATACAACACTGAGGATTCAAAATTGAGTATAGTAATGTGAATACATGGTCATACTTGGCAATGCATCTTCATACTGAGGATTCAAAATTGAGTGTAGTAATGTGAATACAATTGGGAATTTTATCTCAGTTCTCATAATACTTTTCTTAACAATGACCTTTATAAGGAGGTTTTTAAACTTTCTATTGAAAGAAAATAAAGTATTTCTTTCTACTAGATTGCTCACTGTTGGAAAGACTGTCACTTTCAGAAGGTAACTTCCTAGCTTGACCTGAAGTCTTGGAGTTCCAGTAGTTCCTGTTTCTAGAAAGAGTGCTGGATCTAAGAATTGTCTTTAGAGAACAGCACAAGACTTGGGCTTCTCTCATATGTCAAAACAACTTAAATTATAAGGTAAAGTTGTGCTCCCTTTCCTACCTATGTGTGTCCAGACAGTGTAAAAGAATCTGTTTAATGTTGCTTGTGTGGATTTACACGTTGTACCCAGTGGCTGTTGGGATACTGTTTAAGTGATTAAGGGGTGATGCCTTTCCCTGGATTACTTACTTGAAATGCCTTATTTATTAATTAGATTTTTATAGAGAGAGCTTCTGCCACTAGCTGTATCCATCAGTCAAGTGCAGTTCTTTGCAGGGGTGTGCAGCATTACTTCTCTATTAATATCTGAAATTTAGGCTTGCTATGTGTATTTCTGCAAGTATTCTTTTTATAGTGAGAAATTCTAGCTATATTATCTGCAAGGCTTTTCTAAGTAAACGGAAAAGAGCGCTTCAAAAATACTTGTCTCTGAGATAGTGGTGTTCATATTCCATTCTTCTGAGTTTTTCTCTTTGAGGGATTCTGGAATTTGTGAGCAGAAAAGAATGGATAGCAACTGTATGATGTTCTGTAAGTCTTGCAGTCTGTGGCACGTGTAGGTGCTGGGACAGCCCCTTTTCGCCTGCCCGGCAGCTCGGAAGCCTTCAGAGCAGCGTCTTGGCACCGGCGTTGCCAGCGCGTAGCTGCTGGGGAAGGAGCTGGGGCTGCCTTTGGCCCCCTGAGCCTGCAGCGAGCAGGGGGACGAGGTCGCTTCCCACCTTGGGCTTGAACAATGGCAGAAGAGCAGTGTTGGCCTTTGACTTGACGCTGTGCCAAATGTTAGTGCCTGAAACTTGCAGCTTTTGGTATATGCTTTAGCAGGGCGTATCCAGCCAGTGCAGTGTTTTTTTTCTGAAATAAACATTTTCAGCGGCTGAACTCTTAATGTAAACATCCAAAGAAATGGCATAAATACAGTCCTCATCCTTCTTTGCAGCCAGAGCTGCATATTTGATAAAAGTATCGTCCTCAACCAAGGCTCTCCTGTGCAGGAGGCACCTGCGAGCGCCCTGAGCAGCAGGGGCCGGTGCTGCTGTGGCAGGAGCAGCCCTGCCCCGGCCACCTCCTCACCAGCTCCTCCCTGGCACGAGGGCTGGCGTTTGCAGAGGAGTCCTGAACCACCCCAAGTGGGTCTCGCTGGCAGTTCATTTCCATCTGCATCAGTCCCTTGGCCTGGCTCACTGAGCAGCCATGTGGAGTGTAGATACTGCCCCGTGCCAGCAGCTAGTCTGCATGGAAGAGGCTGGAACCACTTCTTTTGGATGTGGTGCTGATTTATGCCCATTTTGTGTGGCAGGGGAATTATAGCACAGTGTCCTGTCCATATTTCCAAGTTGGGGGCGGGGGGGGGATGTACTTTTTGGTCCTAATAAGGCTTTTATGAAACCTTGAGGAACTTGTGTACATCAGCTTGTCTTAAAAAAGCAAGCAAGCAAAAACACTCTTGCAGCCCCCCAGAGCAGTTCTTCAGACTGCATAGGTGACTGCTTCCTTGTGTATGTGTGTAGAGAAATGCACGTGGCCACTTAAGCCTTGGGTGTGTATGTATGTGCCTGTGTGTTTCTCCGTTTGATTTATCTCCAGAGCAGTACTTCTTTATTTCTGGAATTGTGTACAGGAAGGAAGGAAATAGCTTTGTAAGCTTTAGTATTCTTTTCTTCCCTCAGGTGGGTTCCTTTGAATGAGCAAACCTTGGATAAGGCCAAGGAGAGCTGGTGTGAGCGGCTCGGCAGGAGGGGTAGCTGGTGGCATTTGGCAAGGTGCCAACAGGACCCTGAGCCCTGCAGCCAGCCAGGGAAGGGAAGGCCTTTAATAATTGGGGCTCCCTTGTCAGTGCTAAGTGAATCCTTTCAAAGGAAGGAACGATCCAGACGGATGTGCAGCGTCTCTGTTCCTTTTGCTTGCACCTCTGGTCTGAGGTGATGTACCACGCGTTACTGAACGGCCTGCTTGGCCTGTGTATGTGCGTGTGCTCACCCTAGCCTTGAATTAAACTTTTCACAAGGAGCAGAGGTTGTGGCTTGTTTTGTTTGTAGGCTTTTTAATTGTGTGTTTTTTTTTCCTGTCCCCCTTCACCTTTTCGATATTTTGACTTGTTAGAACTGTTTGTCTGTGTTTTGACGCTGTCGTAATGTGAAAATACCGAAATAATGAACTTCAGAGACTCCTGTTTTTGCAATAAGTATGCTGTGTTTCTGGAGATGTAGTATGTTTTGGGAACCCCAGGAAAAAAAAGCTGAGAATTGATTAATTCATTGGTGGAATTAAATTCTCTTTTTTTATTAGGGCAAAATAACCACTGGCATTGCTACTTCCTAAAAATCAGGATGGCTTTAGGGCCTTTTCAGAGGTAATTTGTACATCAACGTTAGTGCTGCAAGAGGAAATCTGTTGAACTGCAACTCTGCTGCACTTTAATTTAAGCAAGTAGGAAATCATTAGATTGCCTGGCACTGCTTGGTTTGACACTTAAGAAAAGCGTCTCTGTCCTTTTCAGACTTGCCATTAGCCAAAATATTTGGTGTGTAGCCCCTTTGCCACCTGTGCTCAGGAAAACCGAGGCATTTCTGGTTATTCAGAGTGCAGTTCCAAATTGCAGTCCAAGGTGTGTCCTTGGAAGCCCAAGTGACCTGACAGTGTGTGGTGCTCACTGAGAAGTGTATGGTCCTGGTTCTAGAAACTTTGCATCTTCTTTGCTCTGTGAAGATCTTTCCTCTGAATCAAATATAATAGAGCTTCTTGTCTTGTATATTGTAGGCTTGCTAGCAACATAATAGAAAAGAAGAAACTGATATACAATAAATGTTAAAGTTGCAGAAATGAAATTCTCTTGCCTTTGGCATAAACTTAAAATTAAACCAAGGTTCTGTACTTGCAACTCTGTGTTTTAGGAAGGAACCTACTTCTTTGGAGCTGTTTTATGGTAATCATAGGGCTTGGCTTAAAGGGTATTTTAGGGTTTTTTTAGTGCTTCTCAGGTGAGTAGAAATGGAAAATGCTTAGTACTTTTCTGCCATTACTTTGAAGTTTCTGCCTAGGAAAATTAGCTTCTAATATTCATTAGTACCTGAATGTGACTCGTCATCCTCATGGTGTTTATTCCTGTAAATTCATACCATATTAAAATATTTTTCTTTCCGTTTCCATGTAAATCAGCAGCATAAATTAATGTATTCTATTCCTTACTACTCCTCTTGGGTTGAGAAGCAAGTTAGTCTTCTGTTCCTGCTATAATTCTGATGCTGATGTGGGCACATGCTTTTAAGTCCCTAAACTGCTCTTGGATTTCTGCAAAACAATGTGCTTATTATTTTTAGGAAGTGCTCACATACTCATTTTAATGAAGGACTTGTATTCCACTTACTCTCCCATTTTTAGAATCCTGGTTCATATTCCTCTTGCTCCACAATCATATACCATCCCGGTGGCAAGTGCAACAGTTGCTTACCTGGAAAAGTAATATTAGAGAAGTGGGTATTTTTAGCTGCCTTTTGATGCGAGGTGGCAGCTGGAAACAAGGCAGCGTGAGGTGATCTCGTGGCATTGCCACCCGCAGTCTGGGAGCCACGGCTCCGGGCTGGGCACCACCATGGGTGGAAAGCTCTTTTGCAGGCCTGGGTAAGGGCCCTGTGCCTGGCTCTCTGATCCAGGTGCTGCAGCTTCACTCCTCTCTCGAGCTTCATTCCCTGCTCCTCCCCCAGATTCTGTCTCCCAAATGTGGTAATGGAGCATTTTAAAAAAAAGAAGATTTTTATTTATATTAATAGGCAGAGCAAGTATAAAATGAGTAGCCTCTTCTATGTACATGTTTAAAATATAATTACAAAAATAAATAATTATATTGTTGTATTTTTATTTATTAAAAGCGCTTTGATATCGGTGATAAATTTTAAATATCTAAACGAAAAGGTATTCTAACAGCTTACCGTAATACTCTCTCTTTTTTTTTTTTTTAGGAATCATGTTGTCCGCGGCTCAGAGACGGAACCTAGCAGGCTCATGCTGAGGTATATTCTTGAGACAAGATACAGTGACTCATATGCTTTGCTGGGTAAGAGGGGTATCCATATTCTCTTGAGTAAGGCCAAAGAGTAGTTAACCTTTAAATTTAAACTTTTGGAAAGTGCCAGCTGTGTTCTGTTCCAAATCTGTGGAATGGGAGGAGGAAGGGGGTTGGCGTGTGTATTGGATTCTTGGGTGAATTAGATGACTTTCAACCTTTATAGCAGTCTAAAGACATTCTAACCTAATTGTCCAGACTAACTGCAGTAGTGGTGACCAACTTGAGAATAAATGTTATATTAAATTGTGTGTGATTATGTGGTCAGAAATGCAGTTCTGGTTGGTTATCTCAAAGATATTTGCTGTTTTTAGCCTGATTGTCCAAGGGAACAAAGATGTCCATCTTTATTATCTAGTGTCCCTTCTCTTATGTCCCTCAGCCCCAAAAAGCTAAGCCTCTTTGCTAGTTTACTGCTGAATTTGACAGCATTAGTAGGTGTTGCAAAAATAATTTAAACTTGTATATCTTGATGGCCGGGTAGTGGAGAAGAAACAAATGGATATACCTCTTGAAAGAAATCTAGGTGGAACTTGGCCTTGTTGTAGGGGCAGGCTGGTGGCCATCAGGCAGGGGCTGCCTCCTGGTCCGTGTGGATGTGGCGGGAGGCACCACAGGTGCCTGGAGGCACTTCATGGTGCTTGTGATGGGGTGAGGGTGGTTGCAGGGCCCTCACAGATCCGTAGGGGATGGGGCTGAGCCCATTCTGCAGCTCAGAGCAGGCTCTCCATATGCCCCCAGTTTGGCCTGGAGTTGCTAAAGAAAAGCCTAAATCAAGAATATTTCTTAATCTGAAGGACATTGCTTGTGTTTCTGCACACTCTCACTTGTGCATCTGCACAGCACTCTGAGGTCTTTTAAATATACCATTTCTCTTTGAAAGTTTTTCTTTGTCTAAAACTTACTTTAGATGTTGTCTCCCCTTTTAATAACTTCTTGCCTGTTGCTCATTCTATTCTTAGCACTGTGTTCTAGGTAACCTGTACCAGCAGTCTCCAGAGAATGTGAGGATTTGACTTCCCCCCTTCTCCTTTTATCCCTCCTTCTCCTTTTACCTACTTGTCTGATCCACACTAAGGTCCCAAGGTTTATTTCATATCGTTAGATATAGATACCCGTCTTGCTGCTTTTGTTGGAGCATCTGGGAAGGGAGGGAGAGGGAAAGATTAAAAAAAATTTCTTTGCTCTTGCTTTCTGCTCTCACAGCAGCTGGTTGGTGGTTCACCTTCACGATCCCTTTATCAGGATTCTCATGTAAGCTGACTTTTTCTCAGTCTCAGTAGATACCCTAATAAAATCATAGGCTTATGGCCATGCTTGTATTTTGAGGGACTTCTGGATGGGGTCTGAGTACTGCCTACCTGTTTATCATCCTCCCGATAATCTCGTGAGACCCAGTGGGCTTGTTCCCTGCGTTAGGTCCCTAGTTGTGTACAGAAGGAGGACTGCAGCAACAGAGGAATGGTTCCTCAAAATAATACGTATCCCTAAAACACAGTTTCCATTAAGGGTTAAATAAGGTGATATGTCTTAATTCTTTATCAATTTAGCACTTTTCTCAGAACATAATTAGATCTAATTTAGCTTGGCACAGCCTGACTTTTTCTTAGTACAGAATTAACCTGTTTCTGTGTGTCCTAGGGCAGTCCTGTGTTTTGGCAGCCCTGTTCAAATTACCAAACTTGGTTTCTAAAGGAGCAGGCACAAAACACAGTGCTAATATTTTTATCTTTTTACTGTATCTTTGTGAATCACTGTCATCGTGTCTCTGTTGCAGAATTGCTTTCTTTTTAAAAGCTCTGGCTAAATATAACAGCTTCCTGGACTCTTTCACGACTTACTAAGAAGTAACCACCAGGCTTACTTTTTTCTTTTATATCTATGGCTTTTAATGTATGATAAAGCTTTCCTGGTATTTTGCTGTCTTTGGTCTCCTCCTTTTTTTCCCTGCCTTCCCTCCTGTCAAATGCCTCATTTGTAGTACCTTCCCTCCACAGTCAGGTACAGCTTGAAACCTGTTGGCTGGAGCTTTCCCTCTGAGATGCTGCACAGGGAAATTGGCAGCGAGCTTGTTGGGTTTCACTAACTGCTCTCCTGTTTGGAGGTGATCTGAATTGTTCTTTTTCAGGGCTTGTTTTATTGCTGCTCCATGGAAGCTCATCAGGGAGTCATACTGTACATATGGCACCTAAAATGAAGAGCTTGTGATTGTGTGATCCAGAGTGTCCATCAAATTCAGTGCAGTCCTAATGACATTTTTAATGATCCTATAGAGTAATGGGAGAGCCTGTTCTTGAATAAGATGTTTGTAATCTCCCGAACATTTTCTTTCTGCTGGTTTTCCAAGTGTCCAAATGATGTTATGTGATGCATGTTGATGCTACATAACTGCCTAAAAACTAGGGCACTCTTTTCAAATGTAGGTTTGATTAAGGAAACTGTGCCTCATAACTTAATTGATAACTGAGGATGTATTCTTATTTTCAAAGGTTGCGTTTTAATATTTTTTTCTCCTTTTGAATTTAGATCATCTAATCCATGGATAAAGTGGGAAAGATGTGGAACAATTTCAAATACAGATGCCAGAACCTCTTCAGTCATGAAGGTGGAAGCCAGAATGAAAATGTACTTGTGAACTCCAGCAGTTGTTCGTCAGTTAAAGAGAAAGCTGTCCAGATAACTGATGTGGCTCAGCAGCAGCCCAGCAGCCCTCTGAGAGAAAACATTGCTTTGCAGTTAGGCTTGAGCCCTTCAAAGAATTCGGCAAGGCGAAACCCAAACTGTGTCACTATTCCTGCTCTACCAAAACCCAGAGCTCCTTGGATACCGAGAAGAGGTTTGGCAGAACACGAAGCAGTTTGCAGAGGAGGGAGAGAAGGTATGGGGTGAGTTCCGTCCATGATATGGATACGGTATCAAACAGGACAGTAGGGAGCCGTTCTCTGCGGCAGCGTCTACAAGATACTGTTGGTCTATGTTTTCCCATGAGAACTTACAGCAAACAATCCAAACCTCTATTTTCTAACAAAAGAAAAATCCATCTCTCTGAACTAATGCTTGAGAAATGCCCTTTTCCTGCAGGCTCAGATCTGGCTCAGAAGTGGCATCTCATTAAGCAACACACAGCTCCCGTGAGTCCACATTCAACCTTCTTTGATACGTTTGATCCTTCCTTGGTCTCTACAGAGGATGAGGAGGACAGGCTCAGAGAGAGACGTAGACTCAGTATCGAAGAAGGGGTTGACCCCCCTCCCAATGCCCAAATACACACTTTTGAAGCTACAGCACAGGTTAATCCATTATATAAACTAGGACCAAAGTTAGCCCCCGGTATGACTGAGCTGACGGGGGACAAAAACGTGCCACCGCCAGGAACTTGCGACTCGGAAGAGGACACGACGTTGCCTTCAGTCGCGCAGGCAGAAGCAGCGCCAGGCGTCGGGGGAGAGCCACGGCCACGTCAGCAGGCAGGGCGCGTGGAAGGTGCACACTCAGATCGATTACATCCACTGCCTCGTGCCAGACCTGCTCCAGATCACGGGGAACCCCTGCTACTGGGGCGTCATGGACCGCTACGAGGCGGAAGCGCTTCTGGAGGGCAAGCCCGAGGGCACCTTCCTGCTCAGGGACTCGGCGCAGGAGGACTACCTCTTCTCGGTGAGCTTCCGCCGCTACAACCGCTCCCTGCACGCGCGCATCGAGCAGTGGAACCACAACTTCAGCTTCGACGCCCACGACCCCTGCGTGTTCCACTCCTCCACGGTCACGGGCCTCCTGGAGCACTACAAGGACCCCAGCTCTTGCATGTTCTTTGAACCGTTACTCACTGTGTCCCTGAACAGGACCTTCCCTTTCAGCCTGCAGTATATCTGCCGGGCGGTGATCTGCAGGTGCACTACGTACGACGGCATCGATGACCTTCCTCTACCTTCAATGTTGCAAGACTTTCTAAAGGAGTATCACTATAAGCAAAAAGTCAGGGTGCGATGGTTGGAGCGGGAACCCATTAAAACCAAGTAAAAGGAACCCAGAGTCCCCAATAAGCTCACAGAATACGCTCTTTTTTTGTGTGCGTGTGTGTGTGTTACAGTTTAACTGCAGCAAGTGCACCGACGACGTCTAGCTTTTTTGCTATATCCTATTTAAGCTCAGTGTTAGTATCCTGTCAGATGCTGCCTGCTGTTAATCAGACTAAATTGTGATGCCTCTTGGAAACAATAAGCAGACACAATTCTGCACGTCTTTCATTTAGGCCTAATTAAAGTATTTTTGCTAATTTCTAAATATTTTGTTTCCCTTTTATAGCTGTAGTAATTGGATGAAGAAACTATGAGGCATTTTCCATGGGGCATTCATGCTAGGCTAATAAAGATGTTATTAGAGGAGCATTTTTGCTAATATTTGAAGTATTTTTTTAAAGAATTTTCTCACTACCTTTCTGCTACTCAAAGTACTAATTTAGCTCATAAATATAAATTTCCAGAGAACAGGGAAAAAGAGTATTTTCTGCAAAATGGAGAGCAGTTTATTAGAAGCAGGGGTGTCCTGCCATCCAGTAAGACTTGATGGGGTTTTAATGCTAATGAATGAATCATGCGTTTTTCAGTGTATAAGATTTTCTAATCACGAAGACTTGAATATGCCTGCTCAGTACTGTAATTCTGCTTAAAACACTTGGGGATTTAAGTGGCATTGTTAGCAAAAGTAACACTGTCGTGGACAGCTTAATATCTTGTAGTGTGAATTATTAATTTAAACACAGAAGTAGATTATTGCCATGGGGGGGAAAAAAAGTCTTTTTAGCTTTTTCTAAAAGAGAAATCGGTGGCCTGACTACTTATAATTTACAGTCGAAGATAAAGGTGAAGAGAAAGTGTTTAAAGTCATTTAATATTTTTATGGAGAAAGTTACCAGTGGTTGAATTATTATAATCGGGACATTATTATAAACCTGACAGGTGTCTGAAGTAGATGTCAGGTTTCAAAGGTACTGCTACACTTTATTTGTAAATATTTTTGCCATTAGCGCTTTTTAAAATGTTTTTGAAATAATATGCACTGATTATAGTTTCAACAAGTGACTTAGAACCAACATTCTAAGTTCTATTTACTTATTTAATCAAAGATGGGACTTAGCACAGTTCTGTCCAGACACATTTGCACTAAAATTTTGTTGGAATGCCCTGTCCCTGTTACTGTTTGTACCAATTTTGAGTGCTCCCTAGTTTCTTTACCAGCTGCTACAGTGTGTAATAACTTCCTTCTCCCTGGCGGCGACCTGTGCGAGGTAGGGAACACCTTGGCTGCAAGTACAATAAACGTCACTCTTGTACGCTACACTAACCCTTCTCTTGATGTATTTTTCTGCTTGCTGTGCCTTGTTCTGGCTTTTTGTGCTAATAAAGTACAGTATGTTCAGTGTTATACTTGTATATCTGCTCTGTTTTTATATATTCACCTAACTTGTAGCAGTTAACTGCATTTTTAAGAGGCTTTCCTAGTACTTAGTGCAGTTGGACGTTGGTTGTTCAGCACACCGTATTCCTGGTCCGTGTTACACTGCTTATCGGGAGCATCCCCACGTGCACCACCGAGTAATGCTGCCATGGCTGCTGCAAAGCAATGGACTTGTCTGCAGGCATAGAACACTTGGAGTTTTTGCAGCGTAAAGGATAAGTATTGGGAAAGAAATGTTTCAAAGCAATCTTGATGCCCTGTAGTGGTTGTTGAAAGTGTTTCAGCGGGTTATATAAATCGTCGTAATATTCTGATACTCCCCCCAGAGTTAGGAATTGTTATTAATTCCTGTAAATTGACAGTACAGCTGCGGCATTTGTTCACTTTTAGACTATTTTTTAATAAGTACATATATACAAATTGGTCAAATGTCCTCTTTTTACCAAAGAATACTGTCAATTTATGTTGGGGTATTTTTTTTAGCAGAAACGTTTGAGTGGAGAGGTGCAATCTCTGTTCTAGCAAATGGTTATCCCAAATCACCATAAACCAAAGCATTTGAGAACTGCATCTGAAACCTAAGCAATGTATTTGTTCATGTTGGTAGGGCTAAAACCTTTAATGTCAACAGTGTCGTCGTTTTTCTTGAGTTCACAGTGCACCTGAAGAGAAGTGATTGAAATAATTTTGTAATGACTGGAACAGCACTACTATGTAGAAGCTTTTACTGAAAGGAGTTCATTTGAAGCACCCAGAAAGCACTTTAAAACGTATGTTAATATGCTCGTGGAAACTCTGTGATCCCTTTATGCGTTCTTTGTAGTCGCTTATCATGTGTTAAAGTACTTCAACTGTTAAAATGAAGCGTTGTTCCGAATATGTAAATACTTATCACTAAGTTTCTGTAAGTACGTGTACAAATGTGCAAACGGTCACTTAACTTTTGAACTGTGTGTGTCGTTGGATATGCAACTTCTGGTTTAAAATCTGCTCTAAGCATAGCTGCATACATTAAAAAAGGAAGAAAAATCACCAGCATGGAATTGCACCCAAGTCTACCTTCACTGTGTCCTTATCACTGGTCCCTCAGTTGGATTTCAAGTCCAGATGAGTTTACTGTGTAGCTTGCTCTTAATAGTGGTATTTTACAGCCAACTTGCAGCCAGGCTTTGTCTCAACATAGGGGTCTGGTTTTTGCCTACACCTGTTGCTCTTGCTTGTCATAAACCGGCCGCAGAGATTCTAGCTATAACAATATTAACACGGTCGGGTTACACGGGCTGAGCAGTTTTTACCTCGTGAAGCTTTGGGGGGGAGGAGGGAAACCATCATTTTGGAGAGTTTGCTCTTGCATTTGTGTAAGTGGAGCCTTTGCAGAGAGGGTCCCTTAAAACACACAACCCTTTCTGCAGAGAGGGTCCTTTAAAACACACAACCCTTTCTGCAGAGAGGGTCCCTTAAAACACACAACCCTTTCACAAGCGCCTCTTTCAGATGATGTTTTGGAAAAGCTTTGCTTCACTGAGTATGCAGGAGAGTAACTTGCTAATGTGCTTAGCCTAAATATCCTATCAAGCTCTCTTAATTGTAGTAGCGTCGAGTGCTGGCTACTGGAGTTGGAGTGCCAATATTTATGCAGTGCATTCATTTATCTTCAGTTTTAAAGACACTAGGACTTGGGTAAGTTGAGAATGTAGGTATTGAGATGCTTCCTTCTGTTTCAACATTCAACATTCTGATTCTCTTTAAAAACAAACAAAAAACTTGTAAATGTCCTCTTCAAAAGATGTACACAAAACTGCTTTGATTTTTTTAACAGTGAGTTTCAATTTAATAAGGTAGGCTAGCATGTTTCAAGCCTGATTAAGGTGCAAATAGCTATCTGTTATGTAATCTCAAGTAATTTTTTGGAAGTGATTCTCTCCTGCAAAAATCTATAGAAAGCACTTTCTGTACAGGATTTTTTTTTTATTATTATTTTTATACAAGATCTTGCAAAGGTCTTTGACTGTACTTGAAAATAGCAAGATGATAAATTATGTAGGAATTAAGTTCTTTGAACACTGAGCAGAGCTCTGTTGTGGTGTGGCACATAAATAAAAACATCCTAATAGTTTAGGAAGCCAGCAGCAGCTCTAGCATACTTTACCAAGAGATAGAAATTATGACAACTGTAGCTTCCATATTGTGTTATCTAACACTGAAAAATTGTGTAAATAGAATAATGTCAGAAATGCATTGAAATATAGTGCTTAGAGTATTTTACTATGCAACTGGATCATCATCTATAAAACTTAAAAAAACAAAAAACAAAACAAAAAAAACATTAAATTCTAATATTTTTAGAAATATATTTTTCTAGTCATCTTAGTTAGGGAGAAATAGTCTTTTTATTAAATATAAGGCATTGTGTAGTTTTCCCCTTTCCTATCTTATCTTTCTCTTCCTCCCTTTTAAAGGCTTAACTGAAAATGCTCTTAAGGACATTAGACACAAGTGATCTGAATAACTTGCTGTTGTGAGAATGAAACTTCTGAGAAAAATAAGTCACAAAGCCATATTTTGCATTTGTGTATCACAAACTCTGAATATACTAAAGACTTTTGCACTTGCAAAAGCAAGTGATAATTGTTTAGAACCATTACTAACTTAATAGATTGGAATTGAATATGCTTCACCACTTAGTTCCCCAGGCTTCTATTAACTAACATGCTTGCTATATTTACTACTTACTGCCACCATAAATAGCTTTTCTTAAAATATAGTATTTTTTCTTACAGAAAATACCCACTTGCGTTGTCAGTAATAGCACTTCAACGGGGATGATGAAGACTCAATAAGACCTAAAATAAGACTCAAAGAGACTGAGTGTTGATTACTGTAGATGACAGGTGAATCATATGCAAGGGGAAGTTGAAAAACCAAGAGTTGTTAAATCAGAAGCCTTCGCTCCTTGGACGACCGGAGTTGTAGTGTTGGGTAAGACCAGCCTTTGCTAGAGGTTGTGCTGGCAACACGTCCACTCGTGTCATTAAGTCCATATTAAACTTTGCCTCTGCACTTTGTGGAAGCAAGCAAAGGTTCTGAGCTGTGACCTAGAGCTGCTTTGCCCTGTTCTGCAGGTGCAGGCCACGTTGCTGAGAACTGCTGGCGATGCCCGTGCTTCAGTGTCACATCTGCTGCAGAGCTGTGTGCGAGGCTAAACGTGCAGAGCTCCGAGCATATTTATTGGATGGTAACTCCATAATGTGCCTAAATTCATTGGTATCTAGGAACCATTTTGTATATACTCTTCAAGCTGAATGAATGCTTGCTGTGTAAACTTGCATAAAAATACAGCTGTTATCACATAGAGGTTTCCGAGGGCCAACTCAACATCTCTCTTGCGGGCTGAAGCTCTTGGTGCTTGCCTTCTTCCCCAGTCTTCAGCAGAAATAACCCATGGTTGTATGGCAATGATGTAACTCTTGCTACAAATGTACTTATCAAGCACACAGGCTGACAAGTGGAAGCAGATCTTGACTTCCTTGTCTGAAGCAAAGCAACTTCTAGGATGTCTTAGCAGGAGTTACAGCTCGGTGGCAAGTGGGGAAAGAGGAAGGAATATTAAGTTTTGCTCTTTGGTGAGAAGTTGTTAACTGAGTCTTGTGCGAGTTTCCTGTGTGATAAGGGAGATTTAAGTTTTAGGATCCTGAGAATTTGAACAGCTTTTTGAAAAGTGCAGAAGCATTTGGCTGCTTTGTCACTTCTTTCCTGCCTGTAGTTTTGCAGAAGCATGAAGGGATGTATTAAAATCTGTTCTATGTAGTTACTGACAACACAAGCATTGCTTTGTAAGACCTTTATAGATAGTAAATTCTTACGTGATTATATTTAAACTGTTTTGGGAGAATGGGTAATGACACTGTGGGCACAAATTAATCCAGATTGCACTATAAACTTTCTTACCAGAAGCCTTCATTCTTGCAAAACGATTTGGTCACTGCTCAGAGAGGAGCGTGGGGGGG